ACCGAGCGCGCGGGCTTTGCAGGCATGGGGGCCCCTCCAGGCCTGCAGGCCGACTGCGAGGAGCTGCTCAGCCGCTTCCAGGAGACGGACAGCGTGCGCTTCGAGGACTTCTCGGCGCTCTGGAGGAGCATGAAGTTTGGGACCATCTTCTGGTGGGTGTTTCTCTGCTCCCGCCTCTCTCTCTCTCCCCACGTCCGCTCCCACGCGGCGTAGGTAGTTGCAGCCCTCCTCCCTCCGCCTACCTCCCGCCTCCCGTCGCCGCACCTGGGAAGCGCTTGGAGCAGCGGCAGCCTCTGGAATCCACCTCCATTTCTCCCGAGTCTTTAGTGCGCCCGTGACACGATTTCCTTGGGCGATTTCATTGGCTTCGGTTGCATCCTTTTGCGGCCTCTTCCCGAATATGTATTTCTGCCTGGCCGCCCTTTTCAACCCTCCTCTCATCTGCACCGCCCCAGCCTGACCTAGGCCCCCATCGCTTGCCCTTCTCCAGGCTGGTTCTTCTAGAGCCCCCATATTTCAAAACAAAAGAAACACCCAAGCAAAGACAAAAAGCACGATTGAATTCATTTCACCTATAACAACCAGAGTTCTCTTTCTAAAGTGCACATTGGATCATGTCACTCCCTTGCTTACAACCCTCCAGTGGTTTCTGTGGCCTTTGGGATGCAGCTCAAATTCCCTATTGTGGTTGGCTAGACCCTCTGTGATTGGCCTCTGCCCTTCTCTGCAGCTTCATGGACCAATCCCCTCCAGGCATGCTCTCGCTCCAGCCCTGCCGGTGTTTGTGGTCCTCCACCTTCGGCGTTTGCTCAGCCTGGAGCTTTCCCCCCACGCCCTTTGCCTGGCCACTGTATTCCTTACTCAGGTTTAAGTTCAAATGACAGTTCCTCAGGGAAGCCTTCCTTCGCCCTTCTAGGCTAAGTAAGGGGCACTGCTCTTTTTTTCCTATAGCATTCTGCTTATTTTATCTCTCAACTTAAGTGCATTTTATTATAAGTGTGTAGTTTTAAAAGACATTGTTAGTGTTAAAGAGCACAGATTATGGAGCCCACCTGCCTGATGTGAATCAGAGTCCACCTACTGTGACTTTTGGTAAGTTACTGGCCTGAGCTCCCTTACCTGTAAAAGAGGGACAATGGTAATACCTCATAGAGTAGTTCTGAGGATTAAATGAGCTAATTAATATATGTTAAGTGCACTCCAAGTGCTCAGTAAATGTTCATTATTGCTATTATTTTTAAACTAGAGGCCTGGTGCACTAATTTCGTGCACTAGAGGGGGGCAGTCCCTCAGCCTGGCCTGTGCCCTCTCGCAGTCTTGGACCCCTTGGAGGATGTCCAATTGCCGGCTTAGGCCCGCTTCCCATGGGGAGCGGGCCTAAGCAAGCAGTCGGACATCCCTCTCACAGCCCGGGACCCCTCTCTCCTTACTGCCCACCTGCTCGCTGCTCCTTACCACTTGGCTCACTGCTCCTTAGCGCTACCACAGAGGTGGGAGAAGCTCCCACCACCGCTGCTGCACTCGCCAGCCATGATCCTGGCTTCTGGCTGAGTGTTGCTCCCCCTGTGGGAGCGCACTGACCACCAGGGGGCATCTCCGTTGAGCATCTGCCCCCTGGTGGTCAGTGTGCATCATAGTGACTGGTTGTTCTGGTCGTTCTGCCATAATGCTCACTTAGGTTTTTATTATATAGATTTTTCCCTCCATTACACAGAGCTCTGTGAGGACAATGACTGGATGCATCTGGTATCCTTTAGCATAATGCATATAATATTGAAAAGGCTAAGTAATTGAATGAATGAGTTCTTGTGATTAAAAATTTGCTGAATAAAATGTAAAAGTTATCTTTTTTCTCTCTGTTGATGTAAAATGATTACCTATGCAGTTTGTTCATTGCAGGGGATAGAGGGTGGAGAGCTGCTTGTTGTACAATTAATGATAGGAGAGAGACTATTTTTTAATAGCTACTACATGTAATGCATTTATAGCTTAACGTATTTAATCCATAGAACAACTCTGAGAAACTGGTATAATGGATGTTTTATAAATGAGGAAAATGAGGTTTAAGGAGGTTAAGTAATTCTCCCTGATCACACAGCTAGTAAGTAGGTGGTAAAGCAGGTATGGAAACCTATATGTTTGCCTGTTTGCAAAACCCATTATCTTTCACTGTAATCCTCTTGGGAAATGTGGTAGTTCAGGAACATTTTGCTGGGGTTACCTCATTTTTTAGCTAATGAGAAAAAACTAAAATGAGGGGAAAAATATAGACCACTTGAGGAGTAGGGGATTTTCTTTAGAAGTTGCTTTGGTTGCCTGTCCTTAAAGTAGGTATTTTGCATTCTTTTATTGTATTTATTATTTGAAGAGCCCAGGCTTTGCGAGTAAAGTGGAGTATACTTTCCTATCCTGCTCCTGTTCCTTCTTTACTTAAGTGAGCTTTGCCCTGAAGAATTGAAAGGAGGGGGTGGGATGTATTTATGGTCTCTAACTTTTTTTATCTAGGTGTCCCAAGACAAATGAGGTTTAGTGTGAATCCCTGAGAGTATTGGGGAAAATATCCATTATATATTAAAATACATGTAGCTTGTGTATTTTATTCTGTAACATAATCATGCTTATTTTGATACTAGAGGGTGGGGTCTGGCAGGCCTGCCTCGATGGGGGCCCATTGGGGGCTGGGCCAGCAGGGGGGAGGGGCCGCGGGAGGGCTCCAGGGCATGTTCGGCTCATCTCGCTCAGTCCCCAGCAAGCTAACCTAATGGTTGGAGCGTCTGTCCCCTGGTGATCAGTGCACGTCATAGCAACTGATCGACCGGTCGACTCGCATCTGCCCCCTGGTGATCAGTGCACGTCATAGCAGCTGATCGACCGGTCAACTCTCTGCCCCCTGGTGACCAGTGCACATCATAGCGAGCGATTGAGCAGCCTTAGCATATCATTAGCATATTACGCTTTGATTGGTTGAGTGGACAACCGGACACATAGCATATTAGGCTTAGCATATCATTAGCATATTACGCTTTGGTTGAGTGGACAACCGGACATTTAGCATATTAGGTTTTTTTATATAGGATATAAATTCTTAACCAGGAATAATATGCATCCCCCACCCCCTTTGCTCCCTAATTCAGCAAGTCAAATTGATGCTTTAGGAAGATGCATCATGTTTACCTAGTGTACACCTATGCCTCAGTGGAGGAAATACAACCAAAGGTTAGGTCTTTGTGCTTGAATCAGGAAGGGATTAGATGTGGAACGCCCACCCAATTTCTAGCAGCTGCTAGAATATACCTCTTGTAATTTTTGTTCATTACTTATTTACTTAAAGTCGTAACATATTTTCTCTTTGTTTTCTAGTGGCAAAATGAGAAATTTAGAAAAGAACACATTTACAAAAGAAGCTTTAGCTTTGGCTTGGCGATATTTTTTACCTCCATACGCCTTCCAGATCCGAGTTGGTGCTTTGTATCTGCTGTATGGATTATATAACACCCAACTGTGTCAACCAAAACAAAAGGTAATACTTGATGAGTTGTTTTCCACCAGCAGAAACATAAACGGGTACAATATTTTTATAACAAACTTGATGTATACAGAAATGCCAGTGTTTAAAAATATAAAACATTTGTGAAAGAAGATTTACATTTAGTAACGACTTTTTTGCTTCTCTTGTTTGCAGATTAGAGTTGCCCTGAGGGACTGGGATGAAATTTTAAAATTTCAACAAGATTTGATAAATTCGGAACATTTTGATGTAGCCTATATTTTTAGGAAGCTACGACTAGACAAAGCATTTCACTTTACAGCAATGCCCAAATTGGTATGTTACCTAAAATAAATTGTTTCTTCAAAATGAGAAATTATAGTTCATTGTCCATAAAGTGCTTCAGTCTCCATAATGTGGAGAGATTATTATATAGTTTCCAGTACTTATAGAAAGGCTTCCTAAAATAGGAGAAAATGCTTCCTGATTACTTTTTGTTGCAATCAAAATTCAGGCTCTGCTTTTAAATGCAGTGCATTTCCGAATGCCATCTGTTAGGCAGATTGTTAGGAGAGGACATTAAATTCAGTATCTGCATTTGTTCATTCTTTATTCAAACATCAGAGAGGATACGGCTGAAAGACGACCAAAGAATTTTAATGTCAGTTGGTGAAAAGTTGAAACTTCCACTAATAAAATATGATATCTCTTTGATCTTATGACAATTGAGAAACTACATTAGAAGAGCACTAGGTTCTAGTTCTGGCTCTGCCATCAGCTGGCAAATAATGGAACTTCTTTGAATATCGGAATCTGTAAGTACTTGGCATGGTATCTTAAGGATTATCTCAAAAGGATTATCTCTAACAGTCTTTAAAAATGGATTATTTAATATGTACATAGTGCTGCTTTTGTTTCATCCATGTTTACTGATAGACAATTTTTGCTGCTGTCTTACTTATTTCCATATTTAAAAATATACTTTAAAAGACATTCTTTATCAAATAGCTGTCATTTAGAATGAAGAAAAAAGTTCAGCGAACTCCAGTTACGGAAGAATTTAAGGAACCAAATGATCGTGTAATGAAACTTATCACTTCTGATGTATTAGAGGTAAATTTCTTTTATTCTCTTGAAATTTAAAAATAAATCATTTTATTGTTAACTATATATTGAGGTTATACCTTTATCTACTGGATACTGAAAAATTTTTAATGACTTTAACCATAGAATGAATATTATTTTCTCTAAAGTATCAGAAATAATGCACCCTAAATATATAAAAGTTTATGGAATAAATCACAAAATACAGTAAGAAACAAAGATATAGAAGACTGGATTTCAACTCAAGATATTTAGATTCAGATACTGAAACCACATTTGTATTTGACTTTTTAGGTAGGTGATAAAACAAGAATTTAAAGTGAGTTTATTTTTTTTTAACAATGTGTATTTATTTTCTAAGTTCCTTTTTACAATGCTTATTTGAAAACCCACTATTGAAAACTAGGAAGATTGAAGAGAACAGAGCTGGGATGATGCACAAAGGTCTATCTTTTAGGGTGATTGGAGAGGAGGGCCAGGCTATGGGATGCCTACTCCTAGAAGCTTCTAGGAATGGAGGAGTCTGAAGTCATCCTGACTTTATCTCACATCTTTGGCTTGTCACAGATCTGCTTTGAGAGCCTTTTCTCTCAATACCTCTGTTAATTCTACTTGTCATGTCCTTGTCTAGCCTTTGACCCATACTCATTGATAATCCTTAAATTTAATACTTTTCTACTTGCAAATGCTTTTATGTCTCCATGTCAGCAGACCTGAATTCTGGTCGTGATTCTCCCACTCATTGGTTTTAGTTTTGTGGTTAAAATGAAGAGGATAGGATATTGGATCAAACATCTGATTTTTAATTCGAACTCTGCTACTTAAATATGACCTTCAGCTAATTATTTTATTTCTAAGTCTTTTTTGTTTTTCATTTATACAATTATAATAATGGCCATTATGTGCTGAGTTTTCAACATGTACCAGGAACTATGTTAAATGTTTATGTTATCTCCCTAATCATGATAGTAACCTTGCAGAGGAGGTGGTATTTTCCTGATTTTAAAAACAAGGAAACTGAGGCTCAGAGAAGTTATGTAATTTGCAAAAAGTAAGGTGCAGCCTGGCTGGTGTGGCTCACTGGTTGAGTGTCTACCCATGAACTAAGAGGTCACCAGTAAGGGATGTGCAGGGGACAGCTGATCGATGTTTCTCTCTCATAGATGTTTTTATTTCTCTATTCCTCTCACTTCTCTCTCTAAAAATCAGTAAAAACATATTTAAAAGTAAATAAAGTAAGGTGTAGACACTGGATTTGAATGTCCAAGTCTATAAGGCTCCAGAGTCCAAGCACTTTATTTTATGTCTTAACACTTTAATTTTGTATAGCGATTTATTGGTACATTATACAGAACACTCTCACTTTCATAAAATCAACTACTATTTTTACAGTGGGTTAGGTGGCATTGCTTAATTTTGTACAATTGTGGAACATGATTCTCAAATTGAGGGATTTGCTCAAGGTCACAGTCTAGCAAGTGACAGAACTCAGGCCAAAACCAGGTCCAGCTAACGGTCTTTCCCCTGTATTTCCCCTGCATGTGGTAAAATAATGGGAGTACAGCACATGGTAAACTGTAAAAAGTTATGGGCTCCCCATGTCTGGACATTGTTCCCCTTTGAAGATCTTGCATGTATGAGCACTCACCACCACTGAGCAGTTTCTGATTCCTTGAACAGATGTCTGTTATTCTGTCAAAATCTAGAAATGAATTGAGTAGCCCAACTTAGGGATGACTCAGATGTCACTAGTTCCCTGCTGAACTTTGAGCCAAGTCCCAATACCAGTTTTTATTTGATTTCTTAAGTGTGCTGTCTTTCTCCTTACCCCATAGATCTGCCGATTTAGCTGAAGGTTTCTGGGGGAGAAGGGTCTAATTAATGAACATTGCCTCAAATGGTGTCATAAATCCCCTCTATATTTTTAATCCTAACTTTTAATACTGAAGCAATGATGAAGTTTTGGGTACAGGCACATAGGCTTTGAGACGTGTGAAAGCCAGCACATCTCTGTGGGGATTAGGTGAATCATACAGGAACTTCCAGCTGAGCATAAAGAACTATGTGCATATCCTTGGTATGACAATATAAAATAAAAATGGGATTTTAGTTATTATCAGTAGTGATATTTAATGATATGTTATACTACAAATAATTTTTGTTATATCCAGGAATTCAATCATTTATTAACCATTAGTCTTTCCTCATGCAGTGTATGTTACTTAATGTTTGTTGAGTTGAATTGAATGAATCCATACCTTTGGAAAGCAGCCTCTTTATTAAATACTGTTTTCAATATACTGTGGCATGTTATTCCTTATCAACAGAGTCACTTTGGAATGCCATTTTATTTTGTGTTGGTTTTGCCTGTAAGTTTCTCCTATAAAACTGAATAAAAGACTCATGTTTTCACCTTTAGGAAATGCTGAATGTTCATGATCTTTATCAGAACATGAAACATGTAATTTCAGCCGATAAGTCCAATCCAAACAAAACCCTCAGCTTGGTAAAGGATGATTTCTTTGATAATATTAAGACAATAATTTTGGAGCATCAGCAGTGGCACAAAGACAGGAAGGTATGTGACTGCTTTTTGATACCTCATCTTTGCAATTGCACTGAACACAGAAGGGTGATAATGTTGAGAGGCAGCTAGCTGAGTGGCTGGCTGCATTCCTGTGGACCTAAGATTTGGAGGGCTTTACTTTTTTTTGGCCACTTATTAGCTATGTGATGTTCTTTAACCTTACAAACAGATTCTATATAGATTACATCTATAACCAAATAATAATAATTAATAACAATTATATAATGTATAATTAAGTAATATATGTAACTATATAATTATAGAGGAATGAGTCATCCTGGCGTACCACAGATTTATTGCAGTCTTTAAAATTTAGCATCTTTTGGAGGTTGCGCTCTGTGGGCCAAATCCTGCACACAGATGTGTTTTGTTTGGCACAGCATTGATCATCCTAACATTGTTTTAAAAATGTGAGTTAATTACTAACGTAAATATTTGTAGACTTCATGCGAAATTCCAGACACCCAGCTTCTCTTAAAAGTCAGAGCTCTGGAGGTCCTGGTCCCGCTTTGCTGCATGGCAGCAGAGAGCTACACCTGCGTGGTGGCTGC